TTTATAACTCGTACATGGAGATAGAGATAGAGAACACATAAAAGAGTTGAAACGTACCAAGAAAATGGGAAGGGTTTTTTGAGTTAAATGTACACATAAATAGAGTTGAAACGTACCAAGAAAAGGGGAAGGGTTTTTTTGAGTTAAATGTACACATAAATAGAGTTGAAACGTACCAAGAGAAGGGGAAGGGTTTTGAGTTAAATGTGAACATTAATTTGCAAAATTATTAAGAAAAAAAAATTCAAAATGTGGAAAAAAGAGGAAAATATGATCTCTACATCGAGGAGATGCCACGTCAGCCTATCATGATTCTGCTTTATAGATATATATAGATTAAAATAATAAAGATGATAATATCCATGATTAACACCCTTCACAATAAAAATGATTAATCAACCTCTCATAATTACAAAAAGTTGAACAAAATGAAAAACTATGATTGGTTGAGTGAGGTTTGCACGGTTTGTACAAATTAGGTGGTTTGTATTTGATCGCTCCTATATATATATAGACTTAGAATCATGTGAGACCAAAGGTTTTTCGTGAGACCCGTAACACCCGTGAGACCCGTAACACTCGTAAGACCAATTCTCAACCCTTGAATTAGATCTACAATCTAACAATTTGAACATTCATAAACGCCACAAGACTTCTCAATAATCACAAAATTGTCACCGTACAATTTTAGACCATTAGATCATTAGCTTATAAAGTTGATCAATGAACATAAATTGGTCTTACGGGTCTCATGAAAAACCTTTGGTCTCACGTGAACCCAACCTTTTATATATATATATATATATAGAGGGAGTTTTCTTTTAATAACTTGCTAATTTGAAAAAATCTCTCTCTCTCTTCCTTCTATTTTTTTTCTCACATCTCTCATCTCATCTCTCTCATATTTTCTCTCTCATCTATACCCTTTTGGTAACACACATGTACCACGTAATTGAATGTGAACGGTGAAGACATTGTGAACATTTTATTAAAAATATTATTAAAGTTTGTGATCATATTGTGAACACACTCTTAATCAGAAGATTTGATATAACTCGTGAACACATTGGAAACACATATCACTAGTAAACACCATAAACTAATATTTTTATTAAGATTGTTTACATTGTGTTCAAAATGTGTATGTTAATACGGAGATAAAAGAGAGAAAGAGATACGTATGGAATTTCCCTAAAAATGCATGAATTTGTATTTGATAATAATGATAATTATCTCATTAATTATTTTAAATTAATGGCCTAGGATGAATCTCACATATTTTGAAGTTCTTAAATGATTAAGTTCCTAAGTACATAATCCTTATGTTTCTTTTATCAGTAATGTAACTACAAAACGTATTATGATGATACGGTGAGAAGGGTAAAAAATATCTCCACCATTTGATTAGTCATAATTGAAGAGAACCACTAGATCAATTTCATTCTAAAGCGTATTTAATGGGTTATTTTGGGACCAAAAGTGATCAAGAATTCAAATCCCTTCTCAGAGCCTGTATGTTTTTTTTTCAAAATTACCTCTTAATACCTCTTAAGTCTGATTTGTTCAGACGTTTGGGTATTAAGAGCGTTTGTTTTATTTTTAAAATAAAAGCTTAAAAGTTATAAATGTCATCTGAAATTTTAAATGGTAAATGTATTACTTAATACCTTTTAATCTTAATCTGCTCTTTATCACATGATTCATATTTTGGGGGTTGGAAGAGATTTGTTAGCAAAAAGTATTCATCTTTTATAAAAAAAAACTATTTATCTTTTATATTCTTGCACTTGTTTGACCAATTCAGATTTTAGACTTCAGACATAGGAACAAACAATCTTACTGATCCAAATTTCAGATTTCAGGACCATCTTTTATAAATCAGAAGTAAAATCAGACTTCAGATTTCAACACATCTTAAAAAACAAATGTCACCTTAAACTTCTCATCTTAACTCCTATTTACTTTTTCGGCCTACAAAGTATATAATTAATCCATACTAAAAATTAGAATAACTAAAAATAAGTTAATATTTATCAACAATTTTCTGTCATATTATATTTGTCTTTTTCTCTTAAATGTTGTTAATCTCATGGAAGATTTTTTATATCGATATTTATTGTCGATAATAATATGAATTTTCTATGATAATGATGTGATTTTGCACAGAACCAACATACTTATCACATCTAATACATTGTGATTAGTGACTATACTATATGTACGTGATTTTAGGGATGATGACGTCATCAAGATTATAGATAAATATGAAATCACATTATTATTCTTAATTATTTAATTTTAGTTATGAGGTAAATAATTTTGAGGCCTATAAATGCTCTTGCATTTTCGTAAAACAGAGATGTTCTTGTTTGAACACTTCTCTCTCCACACACACACACACATATATATATATATATATATGTGTGTGTGTGTGTGTGTGTATAGGATTAGGTCGGTTGAGTTCTCGTGAGAAGGAAAGTTATGATGAAAAACATAAAAAAGATATCTCCACCCTTGCATCAATTCTAATTGAATGTAAACACTAATGAGACGCACCGGCTCAATTCCTTTCTAAGCACAATTAATAGGTGGACATGAAATTAAAAGTGATCAAGAGTTCAAATCTTTTTTTCGCTTCTTACTATAACTCCCTTCTCACATGATCCTTCATCGGGTTGGGTTTCAGTGAGAAGGGAAGTTATAAGAGATAAGCGTAAGAAGAGATCACTACCATTAAATTAAATACTAATTGAATGTCAACACCAATGAAGTACATCTCAGATCAATTCATTTCTAAAGCACAATTCATGGGTAGATAAGAGGTAAAAAGTGATCTATAGTTCAAATATTTTCTTATACTTCTTAGTTTAACTCTTTCTCACATGATCATTCACATACACACACACACACACATATATAAATATATATACAAGAAATCAGTATTTTATGTATAAAGTGTGGTTTTATTTTATTAATTATTAATACAGAAAAACAATCAAATTATATTTTTTATGGGATTAATTTTAAATTCAACCATGCTAACTTTGATTTAATTTCACACGAGAAGTAACATTTTACTTGAAACAGATATTGTATAGATTTCAATCGAGATGCAAGTTGGATGATTTAAGTTTGAAAAAAAAAGACAGTCATTGATGATGAGCAAAACATTAAATGGAGAGTGATATGACCAAACATAAAAATTCAGTCACAACTGATATCAAACTTCAACATCAATACAAACTTTTGGATTCAGTTCCATTTCAAATTATAAATGTGTGGTTTTTCTATCTTGGAGCAAAGCAATCGAGAAAGGAAGCAACACACATTACCAAATGTCTTGCATCGATTGTTTTAATAAATAAACCACAGATATAGATAAATGGATATGAGGTTTATGACATAGATATTTATCTCTTTTATTATCTATCTATATTATATTATAAAATATTTGACAAAAAATTTTAAAAACTGTTTTTTATACGTGAAGTACTGTTTATTGATACATATTACTTAAAATTCAAAATTACAAGTAGAATGTGCATGAATACATCTTATTAAAACTCTATGTTTGAATTTGTGTGACTAAATACAGATAAATATAATTAAATATATGATAAACATCATTTTAAATATAAAAAATCTAAAATATAATTAAGATAATTATTGAGTTCTAATAAAATACTTAATTATTATCTTAAAAAATCATTTTATTAAACAAGAAAGAGTTTACTCCGTTATTAAACTTCAATTAAATTATAATAAAAAAATTAAATTAAATAAATTACACAAAAAAGAGAACTCTTAAAAAGTTAATTTGACATAAATGTCAATTATTTTTTTTCAAAATTTTATAATATTTCATTAAAAAATAAAATAAAAACATTTTCTTTTTCTCAAAACCACATAAAATCGCATTATAACATCGATAGACCTAAAATATATAACGAAACATTAAAATCAAGATATATCTCGTTACATTACAATAATCTATACTATATTATAAAACATTTGACAAAAACTCTAAAAAATCTATTTTTTATGCATGAAAAATACTGTATATTAATGCATATTACTTAAAATTCAAGATTATAAGTAAATTATGCATAATGACAACTTATTAAAGCTCAATGTTTGAATTCGTGTAACTATCTGTGAATAAACATAACCAAATAGATGATAAACATTCATTTTAAAATATAAAAAATTTAAAGAATAATTGCCAAGTTATAACAAAATAATTAATTATTATTTTTATAAGAAAATTATATTATTAAACTAAATATAAATTAGTTCGTTATTAAACCTAAATTAAATTATAAAATAAATTGAATTAAAAAATTGCAAAAAAATAAGAATTTTAAATAGTTAATTTAATACTAATATCGATATATTTTTTTCAAATTTATATTTTATTCAAAAATAAAACATTATCGCTTTTTAAAAAATCATATAAGATTATACTATAACATCGATTGAGATAAAAAAATAAAACAAAATATTATAATCAAGATGTATCTCATCATATTATACAAATAAACTTGTTGTAATTCTAAATATACAGGGTAAAGTAAGCGGGAGCCACTAGGGCCAGGGTGCGCAATTTCCAAAAAAGAGAGAAGAAATATCCAGTTTCGTATGGGCCTATTGCTTTAAAAATTATGGTTATTAAATGGTTTTTTTTTTTTTTTATAAATGAACGTTGAAATTTTTGTGGAATGGACATAGTTTTTACAATAATTTTCATTTTTTTTTTCAAGTTGTTTATTTGTTTGTATCATGTGTTTTCACATTTGCAGACACGTCCATTGTATGCTTGGATATATAAATGTATATTGTATAATTAATAAAAAAAGGTACAAAATAGAAAACTAGTAAACTAAAAAAGAAATCTATGAGTTGTGTAGGGACTATTTTTGTAAATTACACCTTATTTTAATTTCAACCCCTCCTCTTTCGTCTATAAAGAGCCCGGCGTCTGCATTGCAGTTTCTGTAACTCACTCAAACATGTTGAAAGCTCCAGTCAACCACGTCAACGGCCACCAAAGGTCGTCTCCGCCGTTACTCAGCCGGGGGAAGAAGGCTTTTGTCGTTGGAGATGGGGGTGTTGACGTTAGTGGAATCCCAGCTTCCTTTTTATCTCACAACACGTTGGCATTTCCCGTCCAACGTCACAGCAGGAGTTTCCGCTCTCGGCGTCATTCCGGTAAATTAGTCGGAGAAATCAAAGCCGTTTCCGGCGAAGCTAGCACTGCTGGTGTCATCACTACCACCAGCGTGAAAGCTGTGGTTACAGTCCAAATGACGGTGGGTGGGGTCCTATCGAACCTTAGTATTACGAGAGCGTTTGACGACATCGGAGATTTGCTCGGAAAATCGCTCCTCTTGGAGCTTGTTTCCGCAGAGGTTGACCCTGGTAAGTGTATAAACTCGCCTGGTTTCCTCTTCTTTTGGAGAAAAAAATAATGGATCCATCAACAAAAGTTCTCGTTATATATTTTATATTAATACAATTACTACACGTGTTTGTGATTGCTTATAAAAATAAATTATTGACTTATTTCGGTGTAACACTGGTAATAAACATTTTTTAGTGTTTGGATAAACAGCTTATACCGATGCCAAACCGGTAATAAAGAGTTTTTGAAAAAGTTAAAATTTACTAACTTATAATAAGTTGATAAACATTTTTATTGAAAATAATAAGTTATTTCAAATAAGCAATCTCAAACACCCCATTATATTCAATTATAACCAAGGTTTTGCTTAGTAACATCTTAACTAGCAGTGGATCTTTATGAGTTGAGTTGATTGGGTTAAAAGACATTTGAATAACCCAATTTAATGTTTATGGTTTGAAAAATCTTAATTCAATCCAAGCCAAATCATGGTTGATTGCGTTGATGCTTTGATATATCAAAATATTCTCTTAACCTTTAAATATTGTTTTCTATACCCATGCTTTCTTTTTTATCATCAATTATTTTGTACAACTTATTCATACTTCTTAAATCATAAACATACCATGTTCAACTACTTTTCTCAAGAGTTTAGATCTATTTTTACGCTTCTCATAATAACTTTCTTTATCATCGGAATCTAACCATATATATATATATATATATATATATATATATATATATATA